AATTCTGGGAAGTACTCTGAACAGTAGTGATGTACACATGTAATGTATATATATAGATCGATGGATCTTTTTTCTATTAATTATCTTTTGTGTGAAATCTTTGCCCCTGCAAGTAAGAGCCCCTGCAAGTAGGAGTGGTTGGTGAAGAAGAGCTACAGCCAGTTCGAAATGTTAGACAACGAGCTGGCACATCTGCCGCTGCGCCGTGCGCCACTTCCGGAGAAGAGACTCGTGGGATTTCGGCAAATGCTCAACCTCGGAGGCTTCAACGAGATCCCCGGACGGCAGCGAGATCGGGCAGATCATCCCACTCCAAAGAGAGGTGAAACGGCTTTCATCTAGAGTTGACCCGAACATGACTCCAGTTTCCATCGACTTGAAAGAGTTTCCAGCCCAAAATGCAGAGTCGGTGGCTTCCCACCGACGCATCTCAAATCATCTAAACTGATTGGATTCCGATCGTCAGGACAGCATCAACATGGGGAGGATTTCCATGACAAAAAAGGAGCAACACCTTGACGTGTTTGGATCCCGTCTCGAGGAAGCGCCTGGAGGGGCTCCGGAACTACCTCGCAGTGCTGGCGCCGCAGCTGCAGAACCTCGCTCAGGTGCCAGCGCTGCAGCACTGGGCCATGCCACCGGCATATGGCCGCTTGGGAGAATCGGAAGGAGCACGAAGAGTGGGAGGGCTAGCAGTCAGATGCAGTAAGATAGAGTTACAGCTTATCTTCAGGAGGGGAGGCTTTGCATCCAAGGCTTTGGAAGATTTGGAAGAGGAGGTTTTCATCTAGAATCTACAGAATGATAGAATGGTGGATATGTTGGTGGTGTGGGTGGAGAAGAGGGTAGAGAATCCTCATTAAACCATATAAAATAAACCAAGGGAGTACTGTACACATTCGTTGTAGGTTTTTTGACCTCGATGGTCTGAGGGGGTCGTGTAGTGCTTTTTGATGAACATGGGTATTTACGTCCATTGACCCTGAAATACATCTTCAAACATCTGAGAAAAGCCGTCCGAATGCATAGGTCTTGGGTCTGTCCTATTACCTGTAACAGTCAGTAAACAATTATTACAATTTTTGGACAAGGCCTGCAACATAACCATCATCATCCACTGTTACAGGTAATAGGATAGACCCCACATAAGTCATAACATATTTCATATACACGTTGATGGTCTGGGGTTTGGGTCATCCCCAAGTCGGATTCCGGACCGTGGGGGCAAGAGCAACTTCGTCAGTCCCGGCACGGCGGAATGGGTCATGTGTCGTGTGTTGATGGGTCATGGCGCTTCTTGGTGTGACCTGAACCGTCGATCCCGGAGAGTAGTGGAGGTATGTAACCGGTGACCCATTGGATGGTATAACCTGTAGTCAATTTATTCTGGGGTTGTTTGCTGGCAGCCTTCCGGCGGCTCAGGTGCGCCGAACCCCGTGTCGGTGCCGATGCCCGCAGCGTCGCCGGTGGCAGCACCGGTGATGGGGTCGCCTGTGGCAGCTCCAGTGGCCGCGGCATGTGTGGCAGCACCGGTGGCCACAGCTGCGGCTCCGATGGCATCAGCAACAGGCCCCACAGCAGCACAGGCCTTGGCACCATCAGCCCCACCAGCCATGGCGACACCAGAAGCGAGTGTTGTGCAGGGAGAGCCAGTGCAAGGGTCTGTGGTTCCTGGTCAGGCCGTGCAAGTGTCAGCTGCACCCGCGCCGGCGCAGCCAGCACCCGTGCCGGCGCAGGCAGCACCCATGCCAGCACAGGCAGCACCCATGCCAGCACAGGCAGCACCCATGCCAGCACAGGCAGCACCCATGCCAGCACAGGCAGCACCCATGCCAGCACAGGCAGCACCCATGCCAGCGCCAATGCAAGCCCAGGCCATGCCAATGCAAGCTCAGGCAACACCCATGCAAGCCCAGCCTATGCAAATGCAAGCGCAGGCTGTGCCAATGCAAGCCCAGGCAGTGCCCATGCAAGCGCAGGCAACACCCATGCAAGCACAGCCTATGCCAATGCAAGCACAGGCTGTCCCAATGCAAGCCCAGGCAGTGCCAATGCAAGCCCAGGCGATGCCAATGCAAGCCCAGGCAGTGCCGATGCAAGCGCAGGCAACACCCATGCAAGCCCAGGCGATGCCAATGCAAGCACAGGCTGTGCCAATGCAAGCCCAGGCGATGCCAATGCAGGCACAGGGCTTGCCAATGCAAGCCCAGGCGATGCCAATGCAGGCACAGGGCTTGCCAACGCAAGGCCAAGGTTTTCCCATGCAGGGTCAGGGAATGCCAGTACAGGGCACGCCTGTCCAAGGCATGCCTGTAGGGCAATCCGGCTTTGGTGCCCCACAGATGACGAGTCAATCCGGCTTTGGCGGTTCTGCGTAGGGGTCTCGGAGACAGATGGAGAAAGCGAAGAAGGACACTGAGAGATGGTAAGCATGTTTTGGTCCAGCTAGTGAAGGTGGCTCACAATGGGCCGAGCACATGCCACAACTATTCAAGTAACTTGGATATCCTTGAATGTTGCTTATAAATACAATGTATATACAGTATACACACATACAGTACATGTATCTCTCTCCCTCTTTGCAGTATGTGTATTTAAATATGGGCCTCCGAAGCAATGGATTTTGGTCTAGTTGTTTCACACTCATATGACCATTCCAGCCATGACTTTCTCATCTCCACCGGCCCAGCTGCCCAAACCGAGGCTCACCGCCGGCCTGGCCGGCGCCGGTTTGGGTGCGGCGGTGGGTGCTTTGGGTGCGATGGTGAGTGGCATGGGCCGCTGGGCGGAAAAACCGGGGATTATTGAGTTCCCCGGTGTGTGGAAGGAAAGAGCTGCCCAAGAGGTTTCTGTGACGTGATCAAACTGCTTGGAGGGTGATAGATTCACTGTAGGGATCTTTGGGGAGAACATGTTCATGAATGGAGCTTGGGAGTACGAACCGGCGAGCCGGCGTGTTTCCTTTCCCTGGTTTTGCTTAGGGTTATTTTTACGTTCCCCATTGGTGAATCCCCTTCCAGGGAAACCTGGTTCGACAGCAAATCCCAGTTTCGGCTGGATGTTGTGTTTGGAGCCTCCAGGGTATTTAGCCGTTATTGACGCACGTGCCAGAGTCTGGACACAGTCTGCTGCGGTGGCCAGCGGCATTGTGGCCATTCGCCCGCAAGCACCGAGCAACTCATTAGCTTCAAACATTAGGCAGCCCAATCATTTCCACATGCCCGTATCCTGCTTGATTGGTTTAGGATTGGATATTGGCGCTTTAGGGAACAATCATTTTCAACATTTTTCAACCGGTTTACATCTTGAAGATCAGGAAATCCCCTTGGTTGGGACCACCTCAATGTTAAGACGCTGCACTGCAACCTGAAGCCCGAAGCGGGAGTATATTAAGGTTTGTCCCCCCAAACAGCCGATACAGCCAGATTCTCGGTTTCATACTGGTTATATATACTCTCGAACTTTTAGAAGCCCGTTGAAGCCTAAGGGTCTCCAGGACATTTACCGTCCCTCGTTGGCCCCTAGAGTTTCGCAGTCATTCCGAAAGAGGACTTTCTTTGGAGGCCTGCATCCAACCCACCCTCCAACCCATCCAACTCCCCGATGGCACTATGAGGCCATCATGGGGACCACCATCATGAGCATCACAACCACCACCATCATGGCCATCATGACCATCATGGCTTCCGGGGAGGCCGGCGCCTGCCTCCGTCATTCATCCATCCGAAGCCCCTTGTGATTTTGGGCGCATTGAAGGTGTCAGAGCCTTCCTAGAGGAATAGGCCCTGCATGGCACTGCTGTTGAAGAGCGCGTGTGCTGCGCGGTAGGAGAGGCCACCAAGCAGGTTCGGGGTCTTCGGACAGCTGCTTTTCTACATTGAACTGGAGGTCCACCTTGTCACCCAGAACTCTTGGGGAAATGGTGGAGAAATGGTGGAATAGGTAAAGTCTAAGAAAGCTTCACTAGGAGGGTCCATATTTCCGGGTAATGTTGACATAGGATTAATCACCCCCCCCCTTCAAGGTCAACAAGGGCAGGAGACCACATCCCCTTAATAAAGAGGACCTGATGATGGATGATGAGATGATGACAAGATTGGGAAAGATTGGGATCGGGATGATTGGGATGATTAGGAAAGATATGAAAGAGATTTGAAGACACGATTCTTTCTGGGATGATTAGGAAAAGAAAGATGATTGCAGGATGAAAGAGATGGAAAACAAGATGGAGGCCAGAGGGTGGGCTTGATTAATAGGGGGAGGGGTCCCTACTATTGGGGGTGGTAGGGCCTGTGTGAGGGGTACCCTTTGAGAGCTTGAAAGCCTTATATATATATAAGATTTTGATAGAGTTTTAATAAGGGAAAATGAACGAATTTTGCTAGCAAGTTTTTTTGAATTATTTGGGAAGGATGAGAAGAAAAAGCAGGATGAGAGGCAGAAGGAGGATGATCATGATATATAATGATCGATGATTGGTGGATATTGAATACTAGCAAAAAAGAAAGTGAATAAAACAAGAATATGAATATGTATATTGTTTATTCTTCTGGTGCAGCTGGGCTTGATTAATAGGGGGATTTCTGGCAAGGAGCAAAACTTATCAGGGGGAGGTTGCAGGGTTTTAATTAGTTCAATATTGGAGGCTCCAGCTGGGCTTGATTAATAGGGGGGGGTTCCCTAATCCTATGTTGACATTATGAAGTGCTGTGAAGTCGCTCACATGGTACTTCCGCCTGAACCCTGGAGTGGTGGATCCAAGCCATTGCAGCTGTTGCACGCCCAGTCTTTTTGGACCTACACACCCCATGCGATCCCTGTGCCATGGACGGGGGGATTTCTCAACTCGCAACTACTGTCCAGAACTTCGCCCTCTTCCCAGCTTACTTCGGACGCTTTGGCGAGAGTAGGGGGACATGCACAAGCAAACTCCATGTGAGTGTTGACACTTGAGCAGATGGGCACGAGTGGGCTAATCGTCCCAGGACGCATCGATACGAGGCTTCGACCCCAGACCCAGCCAGGTCCGGAGTTCGGTGTTTAATTAGGAATGAGGCTTGGACAACAAGGGCTAAGGGTCCCAAAACTCCAGAACCAGAAGCCAAATTGGTAAACCACCAGGTGCATGGTGAATTGAATGCCAATGGCGATGTGTTGCTTTTTGGTTCTTTCGTTCTGTTTGCGCATTCGTGCCAGGATATGGGTCAGAGAGGTGCTACAAGTGTTACTGGGCCATGATCTGTGTGGGTAGTGCGAGGGACCAAACAAGCGACCAGACTCAATGGCACAACCACTTGCACTTTCTAAAATTCTAAGCAAAGTGGAAAGCTGTCTGTTTGCAGAGAGAATTGCCGATGATAGCAGGGAGAGTGCATGGTTTGCGGATGGGGATTCTTTCATCACTACAATTGAGCCGCTTGTTTGTAAAGTCCACTCTGACAGCACTGTTTCATCGGTGCGCACCGATGATGTTCTACATCCTTTTCTTCTTAGGGCTCTGAGGTGTGAAGTGAGGCTTGGCCAGACGGCAGAGTGTCTGGTAGACTGGGCGGAAGTCCACGGTCAAATCAACAGGTCCAACAGGTCCAGGTTCCGTGGGCCGGATCTGGCAACTGACCCAGTGGATTCAACCCTGCCACTCGCAAAGGCTGGGTGGCTCCTGGCTAAGGTCCACGCAGTCCACACAATTGGCTTGGTGATTCGCTTCTACTTGTGCTATAGGCATCTGGTTTTTGTGGGATGCACCAGAAGTATACAGCTAGAAGGCTAGACGTGTTTTTGGGCATCTTCCCCAGAGAAAACCACCCCTCATGCCGTGCAGCGGTGAGACCTCACCTTGTCACGTCATCATGAGCGAGTCCATGCGACCGAGGCGAAGGACGAGGCTGGTGCCATGACTCCTCCATGGACCATGATAAGGCGAGGCGCCCTTCGCCGACCGACACTTGTCGGAGAGCAGCGCCGACACATCCAGGTCGTAGCGCCGACGCTAGCGCTTCCACGTCTGAGCGAGTGATTTTGGGCGCATGTTCACCCCACGGAGGAATCTCAAAGACAGGTTCTTGAGGGCACCAAAGACCAAAGTCGGTGACAGAGGGTTCGATGCCTAAAGAAACTCCCAGTCTCACAGAAAACACTTGCTTACTCGTGGGTCCTAGAAAATACCTGCCAGCTCCGGCTACGCGACTGTTGCGGGCGCCGAAACCCCCGCGTCGGTCGCTCGCCAGCCGTGGGATGAGAAGTGCTTCTTCTGCAAGGACTACGGGGGTTGGTGGAGGGTGCAGGGTCCTATAGGGAGTTGTGGTGAAAGCATGGATCTAATCACTTCTAAAGGAGCTCGGGTCTTGAGAAGGTCTTCTTGCAGATCGATGAGGTTTCAACTAAGATCAACTAATGAATGGCGGGTTGGAGGAGGCAGAACTTGTTCCCAGGTGCTGAGCTCAAAAGATTCCAGACCTGGATCTGGTGGAAATCCACCCTCCAATATGGCCAGCAAAACACCGCACACCTCAAGTTCTGTACGGAAACTCACCCAACACCCATATGATTCGACCCACTCCCGGGTCAGAACGTCCGGTGGCAAGCAGCAAAGCAACCTGTTCCAACTCTTTCTGGCGGACAACCAGGTACACAACAGCCCAAGAGTGGGGTAAGATCGGTGCTGGATGGATCTCTTTCTTGAGGATCCTGCGGAAATGAAGAAAGCTAGTTCTCTCAACCCGATTTCGGTGAAACTGGGTGCCGGTGACATACAGGGTGCTTTTCACTCCACTTCCACGTTTGTTGCTGTCCATGTCCGTTTCACCCCCAGTATCAACCACGGGGCCGCAGATGTCAGGAGTGCAGCGGCTGCAATGGTTCGGGGCACCTCAGCGGCGGGGGCTTTAGCAGCGGCTTTGGTTTCGGCGGCTTTGGTGGAGGAGAGGTCGCAGATTGAACATGTCGCTGGTTGCTGGTGGATATCCGAAAGGTGAAGCCATGATGTGCAGCAAGAGAGCAGGGCCAGCAGGGCCATCAGCACAAGGTGGACCACTGTATGAAGGCGTCATAGGCCAGGTGTGGTGCACGTGTTTGGGCGTAAATAATTGGATTAGTGACTAGTGACTGGGTAGCACCAGACCTTTTTTGACCCAACTGGCCTTGGCCTGGGTGTAGCACAAAGGCTGTGTGCAGTGCCAAGGCCGGATTTTTGTCCTTGACCGCGTGGCACCCGCCCCCCTTCTTCGGCCTACCCTTCACAGCACTCGTGGCGAACTCGTGGTCGTGAAGACCCTGGCTCGCCAGGAGAGGAACGCTGCTATAAGTGCGAAGGCCGTGGCTTCTGCCATGACTCCTCGATGGATCACGACAAGGCGCCGCGCGTTCAAAGCGTGGTGGGGCGGGAGTGAGGCGGGACGCCGCTTTTTTTGCGCTGGTGTGGAGCCGTTGGTTTAGACATGACGTTAATACACTAGTTTGACATAGTTTGACCAGTTTGACCAAAGTTATATAGCACACACACACATATATATATATATTAATAAACATGCACATATAATTACCAGCGGGGCAGCACATCAATGCCATGCGGAAGACTACCATGAGTGCGCACTGTGATACAGTGTAAAATTGGATGCATGGCGGTCACGCACAATCGTTCTAGGCGTGCGCAAAGAGCCAAAAAGGGCTGCACATCAAGCCAGTCATCAAGCCATCTTTGTGAGGTGTAGCCATGGAGATTTCTTACCCAGTCAGGTCGCTCAAAAGTGAGGTAGAAATGGTCGTTGATGGGTCCTATTCGCTAAAAAAAAGCGGGACCACCAGGGACAGACCTGTGAAGCCCTGGTTCAGACTGGTGCGCGTAAGGAATCAGGGTGGCTGGATCCTGAGGTCTTTACAGGGGTCCATTCGCTTATTCCTTACGAGTCGCACGCGTCTGCCTGTTTCAGGCGCAACGGTGACTCCATGTCTCCATCGGAGCGCTCGATTCGAGCGTCCCGAGCGTTCGGAATCGATCCGACAGATCCGTTCGGACCTGTCCCGTTTGGGCTCCTGTCCCACCTCCGTTTCGAAGATGGGGTGGGTGCCGGCAAGGGTCTAACCACCGAACCTGAGGATATGGGCCAGGAGCTCTCGGGTTTTTTCGAAGCACATCATCGCCCGAGATTTATCTCAGGACATGACCAGATCCTTCGAGGCTGACATTAGGGGACCCATCACTCATCCCGAAGATGGCCGATGGCCGAGTCATGAGGTTTTTCCACATGTCAACGTGACGTCGAGATGTGCACTCTGTGGGCGGACGGGTGAAGGCTTGGAACGAGAAGTGCTTCTTTTGCAAGGAGCCGCAGCTGGCAGCTTGGGGCCGAGGTTCAAATGGATGGGGGTCTTTTTCTCTACTAAGATGAACAGTCCCCGACGGGCTCCAAATACCTCCGTTTCAAGTGCTTTTTTGAGAAGGTGAACGGAGGGTCTAAGTACCTAGAGATACCTGGAGGGTCGAAGGCCTTTGGAGATTTTGGTTTAGGGAGTACCAATCGCCTGATTTGAGAGGAAGGGACCCCCAGATGATGTATACACAAGAAGCAATAGTGACCTCACCTTCACCGCTATGGGCAGCTCCACTACACTCTAGAGAGGGTGGCATGTTTACCGGAGGTGTTGAAGTATCGAAGTAGATAATTTTCATTTGCTGTCAGCCAGCGAAAGTTCTCAAAACATTGGGGCTTGGCCAGGATTCCGGGTCAGTCCCACTGAAGCCCAATGGCAGAGAGCGCAGTGGTCTCTCACACTCTCTTCGACCCCCCTGCCTGCACTCCAGAAGTCCAATAAGATAGAACCTGCCCAGATGCATGTCTTCTCAACCAAAGAGTTGCATTTTACGAGTGTATCCCTCAAGATTTGACAAACAAGCTTTGTTCGCCACCTTTGATTTCAGGAGTGCAGCGGCTGCAAGGGCTCCGGGCACATCAGCAGCGGGGGCTTCGGCTTCGGTGGAGGTGGAGGAGAGGGCGAGAAACTGACGCTTTCCACGACCTGAGCTCCCGCTCATGCAAGCACCACCAGTTTTCTTTTTCAGCTGTCTTTGCGATTTGGGCGCGCATGTGGGTCGAAGCTTCTGGTGTTTTAGTACCTCAACATACCTCAACCACCGGCGGGTGGTGGAAGGCCCGGGCAGCAACGCAACGCTTGACGTCGCGTCGCATCGACCGATGGACGTCAGGACGATGCTACAAGTGCGAGGGCCGCGGCTTCTGCCATGACTCTTCGATGGACCACGACAAGGCCAGGGAGAGGTTGTGAACTCAGGATAGGAACGGGGTGGTACGGGGGGGCCGGCTTGGCTCTGGACGGATGGCTGGATGGATGTGTATGGCGAAAGAGCTTCATGGAGGACTTGAACTGCCGAAGGGTGGATTCCGAAGTGCGCAGGATACATGGAATCTGGACAGCCGCGCGCGTTTTTCTACCCCAGTTTCGGCCTTCCAGGCAGTCCCCCAACGGTTTTTCCATTGAAGGCCTACGAACCTCCTTCCATTGATACATTCTACTGTAGTGATTCTAGTGGAAGTTCCGGCCACGAATGGTAGGTCGCAGTCGCGGTCGTATTTGGTCGTAGGCTTGGGATGAGAAGTGCTTCTTTTGCAAGACCTGCAGCGGATGCCACGGCAAGGGCCACCTTTGAGACACTAGCTGTCGGAACGGCGGGACTGTAGCAGCTCAAGACCAGTTCTGTCACATGGGAGGAGATTGAAGCCCAATGGCAGTCAATGGCACCCCCCTGGCCTTGGCATGAGGAATCCCATGGTCTTTCCAGGGGAACTGATTTCGTGCACGGAGGGCAATACAGGTAACCAGGTCGGACGGATGTAGCAAGAGCATCTACCCCATGCTGGTCATGGAATACCTTGGAACAACACGTAGAAACTTCCACGTAGGGTCGCCTAACAACAGTTGCATCGGCTTTGAATTCCTTATCTTTATACTGCAATCACATATTTCCATTTTCCAGACCCAAACGAGACCATGTGACACCATGTGTTTTCGTTTGTTTTGGTGCCATTCACGCAGCACACATCCCGATAGATAGAGAGAGATAGATAGATATAGATATAGATATAGATATAGATAATTTATAGATATATATATATAGATAGATATATAGATATATAGATAGATACAGATAGAAATATATAGAAATATATAGATATAGATAGATATAGATAGATAGATAGCTAGATAGCTAGGTAGCTAGGTAGGTAGATAGGTAGATAGATAGATATACTGTATAGATATAGATATAAATACAGATATAGACAGAGTGTGAGATTCTTATGAGACAAATGGTTGGATTGATAGTTAGATAGCGACCTAGGTATAGATATAGATGCTTAGAGGGGGGTGATCTTGTCAGGTTTCTATCTATCTCTATCTCTATCTCTATCTCTATCTCTATCTCTATCTCTATCTCT